AGAGAGACAGAGACAGACAGACACAGAGAGAGACAGACAGACACACACACAGAGACAAAGACAGACACACAGAGACAGAGAGACAGAGACAGACAGACACACAGAGAGGGGAGAGAGAGAGAGAGAGAGAGAGAGAGAGAGAGAGAGAGAGAGAGAAATGTGTGTTCCCACACTGATTCTGGAAATAGGATGAAAATAAAAAGAGAAACAAAAAATACAAAAATCAGAGCCCTCCCTCCCTCCCCTGCACACAAGGGGAAGGGCCAGGCACAACCTGCCACCTTTGCAGACACTTAGCCATCTGTACCCCAGGATAGATACCCCAAAGCATAACCTTGACCTAGATACTGAGCCCTATTCCCTCGCTAAAGAAGACCTCACAAGTGACGGGGTCAGGAACAGGCCTGACAATAGCCTATGACTCACACTGGACAATCAAACACCATCCAGAGACACCATCCCAAGGGCTCACGTTTCAGCCAGAGCCACCTCCTCCCCAGTATGACTGCCATTTCGATGCCATTTAGCCACCCTCTCTCCCAGTCTGCGTGCTCTGGGCCAATGCCAATCCCTGCAGACTCCATAGCTCCCACAATTTACTCATGAAGACAAAAAGAAACGTGAGTGCCAGCCCTGGGCAAGGGACACTCAGCACCAAGACTGCCTGCTGCTGTGGCTCCAAAGTGAAACCAAGGAAGAGGTCTGTCCCAGGGGCTAAGCCATAGTATTCAGGGTCACTCACTTAGACCTCCTTCTCCAGGGGCTTGCCAACTTGGGGAACAGGCTCAAGTACCCCCTCCTCACAGGCACATGCCTGTGAGCCCAGCACTGAGAAAACCAAGGCAAGGTTAGCCTAGGCTAATAAACATGAGACTTTAGGTTTGAAAACAAAGATCCTTCTCTAATTGTCTTTTGAAGAACACTGGACTTTAAGTCAAGTCGGTTCCGTGTCTTGCTGTGGGTCCTTGGTTAAGTCTTCCTGTCTCTCTGAATCAGATTCCCTAATACGAATGATTTCACTCTGTGCATCTGCAGCAAAGTTCAAGGAGTGGACTGGGGGTGGGAGTTAGAGACTAAGAAAGGTCTGCAAAGAGAAAGCCAATAATATAGAATTGAGAGGTAAACACATCTACTGCCCACTCCAAAACCACATACTGGGGGGCAAGCAAGGGCCTGGGGTGCAGCTCAGGGGTTGACCATTTACTTAGCAAGTGCTGGGCCCTGGGTTCCATTCCCAGCAGTGCTTGTGCATGTACACACGCGCATGTGCGCAAACACACACACACACATAAATGGATGACAGTGGTCCCACATCTCCCTCTCTGGCCCCTCCAGACAGGACGAGTGGATAAGAACTACCCTCTGGTCACTGGGCACACTGGCCCTGTGCTGGACATTGACTGGTGCCCTCACAATGACAACGTCATCGCCAGTGCCTCAGATGACACCACTGTCATGGTAGGAGCCAAGTGGATGCTGCCAGGCTGGGCAGGGAGCAGGGAGGTACCTCACCTGTGCTGGGGAAGGTGATAAAAGGGGCAGAGGTGCAGAGCTCTGCCCTGTCCTGCCCAGTTCCCAGATTATTTTTAGTTAAATACATACCCGCGCCCTCCCAGAATGCACTGCCTAGAACTAATTATAACCGTGGATAACTTGGGGCCCTAAGGGCAGGGGTACAGCACTCTGAAGTTTTCTTGACAGAGTGAGTGAGGAGGTTTTTGGAGAGCTCACAATGCTGCCGGGTTCTGAACTGCGGCTTCCACGGTGCTGGTACCACCACTCTTTGTCCTATATCTGACCCGTAACACTCAAGAGGACCAATAACACTAGGTGGGTGGAGCCATCTCTGTATCTCACCTACTTGTTGTCTTTCTTCTTACCTAGGTATGGCAGATTCCAGACTACACCCCTGTGCGAAACATCACAGAACCTGTCATCACACTAGAGGGCCACTCCAAGCGTGTGGGCATCCTGTCTTGGCATCCTACTGCCAGGAATGTCCTGCTCAGCGCAGGTCTGGGGTGGGGCTAAGGAGGGTCCCTGCTATAGAGGAGGGTGGGAGTGAGGAAGGCGGGGCTCAGATGATATGCCTGGTCACTCTGGACAGGTGGTGATAATGTGATCATCGTCTGGAATGTGGGCACTGGGGAGGTACTGCTGAGCCTGGACGACATACACCCTGACGTTATCCACAGCGTGTGTTGGAACAGCAATGGTAGCCTGCTAGCCACCACCTGCAAGGACAAGACCTTGCGCATCATTGACCCCCGGAAGAGTCAAGTGGTTGCGGTGAGTGCCTGGCCTGGCTGGCTACTCCCTAACACCCCTTGTTCAACACCAGCTGTTAGCGCCTGATACCCAGTCGTCAGAGGCTCTGGTCCTAGCTTTTACCTGTTTTATCCCTACTCCAGAGATTAGTCATGACCTCGCCCCCTTCCGCACCCCTTGCAGGCTCTACAGCCTCAATCCCTACCCTGAGTAAACTCCCAGACTGCAACCCTCTGCCTGCTCCGGTTCGCTCCCCTCCCATACATCTAAGAGCTCCGAGGAGGGCTCCTTGCTTTGAGATTGAGGAGGGGAGAAGCTGGAAACTCCATCCTCCAACCAGAACCTGCATGAAACCTGAGCTCCAGGACCCTCTCCTCTCAGATATCCAACGCCATCTTCCAGGGTCTGGGGCCTGACCACCGAGACCTGCCCCCCTTCCCACCCATTGACCCACTGGGAGGGGATGAAACAACCCTCAAGCATTGCTTGTCCCAGCTGAGTGCCCTGGGAGGCCAGCCTCCTTCTAACCTGAGGTGTCGGGTGCCTGCATGTCTGCTTGGAGCACAGGCGTGGCGCGGCTGGGAGCTGGAGGGCGGATGGGCGGGCACTCTAACCCACTAACCCTGCGAGCAGGAGCGAGCCCGGCCTCACGAGGGCGCCCGCCCGCTGCGGGCCGTCTTCACCGCAGACGGGAAGCTGCTCAGCACCGGCTTCAGCAGGATGAGTGAGCGGCAACTCGCACTCTGGGACCCGGTAGGCCAGGCCGAGGCGGGCACCTTGGCTCGCTTTGCAGGGTCAGCCGGGAGCAACCTCCTGAGTGGTGGCCGGGCCCAAGAGGCCCAAGTGGAGCACAGGGCTCCCTTGTGGGTAGAACACCACTGCAACCCCAGGAAGCCTGCAGACATCACCTGCCCCAATGATCAGCCTGTGAGGGTGCCTAAGGGCTGGGACCTGCTGAGAGCTCCAGGCCTCCTGCTCTCTCTCAGCCCCGATGTTCTCCAGGCCAGGGTCCTGCTACTGACCTCTGAGAAGCTGCGTTCTTAGGACTCCTTTTCCCCACTCCCACCCCACACTCAGGTTGGCAAGGTTGCTCAGTTTTCCATCTCCCGAAGGCAGGCAGCAGGGTGATGCTCCTCCCTTCTCCCCCTTCCCCCCAGGAGAGGTTTGCAGCCCACGAGGGGATGAGGCCCATGCGGGCTGTCTTCACGCGGCTGGGTCATATCTTCACCACGGGATTCACCCGCATGAGCCAGCGAGAGCTAGGCCTGTGGGACCCGGTAACACAGCTGGAGGCTTGGGGTGTGTGTCCCGGGGACTGGCATCACGGGCGAGGGGCCAGACGCCCCGCACCCGCAGGGTATGCCCATTCCGACAGGGCTGAAGGTTGCTGCCACTTCACACCCAACACTGCCCAGTTTTGCTGCGTCGCCTGAAGGAGCTCGCGCTGGCGCCCCCTCCTGGTGATGCCTAGTCCCTGGGGGTGGTTTGCTGTGACTGCATGCAACCGCACAGGGTGTACCTGTGCGAGGGAAAGGGAAAGATGCGTCTAGGAGAAGAGCCTGTAGCTCTCACAGAGCTGTCTTGGAAACGCATGGGATTTGGGGTGGCCATAAAGCGAATTCTGAAGTAACCTGGGAGGATGAGCAGAGCTGGTCACTCTCTCTGTGCTCGGCAGAACAACTTCGAAGAGCCAGTGGCCCTGCAGGAGATGGACACAAGCAACGGGGTGTTACTACCATTCTACGATCCTGACTCCAGCATCGTCTACTTGTGTGGCAAGGTGCTAGCGGTTGGGCTGGAAGAACCAGGGCCAGGATGAAGTGTGAGCGCGCTGTCTGGCAGTGCATCTAAACTGGCTGGTTTTGCAGGGCGACAGTAGCATTCGGTACTTTGAAATTACGGAAGAACCACCTTTTGTGCATTATCTGAACACATTTAGCAGCAAAGAACCGCAACGGGGCATGGGTTTCATGCCCAAGCGGGGACTGGATGTCAGCAAATGTGAAATTGCCAGGTCAGCACTTTTGCCCCTCCTGTCCCCCTGTTCCTCATGTCAGCTCCGGGGCTTCCCCTAATTGTGCTCTGCTCTTTGGGGAAAAAGAAAGAAGGCATATTAGTCTTTTTTAGTGACAGTCCCAGCACTGTCCCACTAGCCTGTCATTCCAACAGAGGTGTTTTAACCCAAAACTGATAATGTGTGAATGGTAGTTACTCTGCAAGTTGACTTCCAACACCTTAGTCACAGACACAGGGATTTTAAAAGGGATAGGGGGTCAGCAGGAATGTTGAAATCCCCTCCCTTGTAGGTTCTACAAGCTGCACGAACGAAAGTGTGAACCCATCGTCATGACTGTACCACGAAAGGTGAGGAAGGTGGGCGTTGCTTGGAAAGCATCAAAACACAACCATCCAGCGCCCAGCTCACACAGGCCCTCCTGTCCACCCACCCCCTCAGTCAGACCTGTTCCAGGATGACCTATACCCGGACACGCCTGGCCCCGAGCCAGCCCTAGAAGCTGATGAGTGGCTATCGGGTCAGGATGCAGACCCTGTGCTCATTTCGCTGAAGGAAGGCTACGTTCCCCCCAAACACCGTGAGCTCCGGGTCACCAAACGCAACATCCTAGACGTGCGTCCGCCAGCCAGTCCTCGGCGCAGCCAGTCAGCCAGCGAAACCCCCTTGTCGGTAAGCTCTAATTTGATCGAGTCACCCTTACTCCATCCCCTGCCTCCTGCTCTCTGCCATGGTCTCGTCTGTCTTCCACATGTCAGCAGCAGCACACCCTGGAGACACTGCTGGAGGAGATCAAGGCCCTCCGAGAGCGGGTGCAAGCCCAAGAGGAGCGCATTACTGCGTTGGAAAACATGCTGTGTGAGGTGGTGGACGGCACGGACTAGCACAGCACACGTGCTGCGAAGCGCTGCACACTGCAGACCCAATGGGGCAGGGCGCACTGACTGGCAGCACCGGCTTTTGGTGTGGGACTCCGCACCCTGCCTCCTGGGGTTGGAATTAGGGGAGAGATCAGAAAAGAAACCCCATCTCCCACAGGAGGCCTGAACACACGGATCTTAAGTGGCAGGAGGTCCCAGGACTTTGCAGGATCAGGCCTCGGGGAGAGCCTGGGATAATGTGGCCTTAGCAGTGGTGCTTCATGGTGAGGTGGTGTCCCTCTCTGTCCCTTACCCTGGGCAGGGGAAGTGCTTAGTACTAGCGTGATGCCTGGGGATACTGAGGGGCTTAGGCCTAACCTCATAGGATGGTGATTCAACAGATATCCCCAAAATCTCAGGAAACTTCCCACATTTCTCCTAGTAAGCAGCACCCTGTTTCAGGCCCGGAAGAGCTTAACCTACTGGCTTCAACTGTCAGTCTATGGCAGAGGGCTCTTCCTATCTTCCCACTTACAGAGAGGGCAGCTTCTTGGAGACAAACAGACCCCTCCAGAGAAATCTCAGGAGAACTGGCACATGGAAGCAGGTTCAAAACACACACACACACACACACACACACACCCTCCAGCACTCTGCTGAATCTTTTAAAAACACTGAGGCATAACTAGTGAAATATTTCACTAAGTACGAGTCTGTACCTCCTGCACGGAAAGCCAATATGCTGCTCCCATCCCCCAAGGCACCATGAGGGAACCAGGCCTTGCCCAAACTAGGGGGCACCCCAGTCCCTTTTTGGAAGCCTGAGGAGACCTAGCAAATGCCAGCTGGACTGAGGACCTACCGGGCAGCTTTTATCCCAGGTCATCCATCTTTGCATTGAGGTTCCCAAGACCCCACCCACCACCCGCCCCCGTGGGCACTCCTCCCCAATAAAGTTAGATAGAAATGCATCTGGTTTGAAACCTCTTTTATTTGTGCCTCAGAATCAGTCTGGTGCCCCTGGCATCAGGGAAGGGAAGAGGAAGAACAATTTCGCTTTGTTGCTCTTTTCTTGACCCCCCTTTTGTGCCCCTTCTGAGCCCCTGGCGGAGAGAAGCCAGCCAGAAGGCAGCCCAGGGCAAGGGTGTGGTCCCTGCTCCATAGAGCCTGTGCTTCTTTAGGTGGGTAGGGTAGAACAGGGAGAGCCGGGGTTAGCACCATTGGATAAAGGGTGTTAGTCAGCCCCTGAATGGGGCAAGAGGGGTGCACAACCACAGAGGGCTAGCAGCAGCTGGTAGGAAGGGGTGGGTGGTGGTAGTGGTGCCAGGGCCCTCATCGACGCTTTTGTGTCGGGTCTAGTACTCGCCCCCAAGCCAATATGCTGCTCCCATCCCCCAAGGCACCGTGAGGGAACCAGGCCTTGCCCAAACTAGGGGGCACCTTAGACACACTCCCTGATCACAAGAAAGACGTGCTGCGGGCATGGGGATTCCAATTCCTGGCTGCCTAAGGAGAAGCTAGGACCACCCTGAGACACAGGACAGGTGTGGGAACTGGGGGAGCTGGGCACCCCGCTAAGTGCACTTGACGCTGAAATGCCGGGGTGGGGAGGGGCTGGACCCTTGACGTGCTGGTTTGTGTCTGGGACAAAGCAGCGACACAGCACGCAGGGCGATCAGCTGCCTCCCGGGGGTGAAGAGCTGAGATGCGAAGGCTTCAGGGACAGTGTCCTGGAGAGGGGTCAGTGAGCAAGGAGGACCAGCCATAAGGAGCAAGGGACGGGGACAATGCTCCTCTCAAGGATTCGTTTCCTTTTCAATAACACCTGCCTCCGCCCTTGGACAGATCTGAGCCCAGAGAAGCGGATTAGGGGTCATGGTACAGCAAAGCAGGGAGACCAGCCACGCCTCCAGGGCTCTGGCCTGGAAAGTTACTCCACGCCTGTATCAATCCCCTGGCATCTCAAGCCTGATGCGCTGCTACACCCCCAATGCAATGGCTCCAGACTCCAGCGGCCGCTCGGCAGGTGCGCAGACCCGGGTCCTGCGTGGAGTGGGCGACGGTCCCAGTAGGAGGCGCTACTGTTCGGTCAGCGAAAGCCGCAGGATCCGCTCCAACTCTTCCTCCTCCTGGCGCGCTCGCTGCCGCCTTTCCTCCTGCTCCTGAGCTGACAGCTCCATAGCCAGCCGCAGCTGCTCGTCGTAGCTCCGGAACACGTGGCTGCTGGAGCGGGGACCTGGGCTGGGCCGAGGGCTGGGCACTGGAGCCGGGGGCATGGGCTGGCGCTGCGGCGTGGGTGGGGCGCTCCTGGGGGCGGGGAGGATTTGTCGAGCGCTCCCCGCTCCCGGTACACCTGGGACACCTGCTCGTAAGCGGGGCAGGAGACATCGTGGAGGTCCCAGGGCTGGGCAGGCTTGCCACCCTCTAGGGGAAGCCGTGAGTCTCGCTGGGCTGTCCTGGCCCCACCCAGTGGCGGCAGATCCCAGGTCCCTCCAACCTGTCGTTGAGGGTCTGAAGGTCCAGGAAGCTAGGTCCCTGATCTCTGCACATGCCTGGAGCACTGGCCACCCACCCCGTGCCAGGGAAGGGGGTTGGCAGAAGCCATCTTGATAACAGGTTCTTGATACCAGGTGGAGCCCTTTTGAAGGCACTGAGGGTTCTCTGGGCCTAGTAGGGTTCCAGTGTCACTGTGCAGTATGATGGCTTAGTGAGGGTCTCTGTGCATGTGGGTCTGGGGTAGGAGAGGAAACAGGCACCTCTAAGGTCTCTTTGGCCTCGTGGGCACTGACCTGTCCTGTCGGCGGCCTTCACAGGACATGGGGTGGGTGCCAGGCTTGCTGTTGGTTAGCGCCTCCCAGATGGTGACCTGAAGGGGAAAGACTGTTAGCTGGGCTTGCCTGCACTCGCTGTGGCTTGGAGTGGCATCGGGAACACACCTGGTCATACTCGCTGCCCGCCTCAAGCAGGCTCTGCTGGATGGCAAACTGCAGCAGGTCATCATCTTCATCACGAGTCGCAGCCTCTCGCTGGCCGCCCAGCACGCTGTAGCCACGTGGGGCCTCGAACAATGCAGGGGAGATCTCACAGGCACGGCAGGAGGCTGGAGGCGTGGGCCAGGGGTCAGGTGTGGGCTGGGCTCACCCCTTGGTGTGAGGGTGGGGAAATGGAGCCGAGCTTGGGAAGGGTAGGACTCTGTGGGGAGTGGAGGGTCTCACTGGTAGAGCTGGAGCTGCTGACGCTGGAAGAGTCACTGCCAGGGGAGGGTGTCTCGCTGCTGGGGCTACCTCGCACGGAGGGCACTGGCTCATCGCAGCCATTGAGGTTCCCGAAGGTGATGCGGGCGTTGAGGATGTGAAAAATCGGGATTTCTGAGGATAAGGAAGCTATGAGGCACTGTCATCTAGCCCCTCAGACCTTAGGCCCAGATTGCCTCTAAACCTCATCCTCTCCAAGCGGCTGAGGAGAAATGGGGCTGGGCTGTGGGGTGGGTGGCTTACCAATCTTGACTGGGAAGCCAGGAGGCAGGCGCAACGTGATGAAGTCCCGGAGCTTGGCAAAAAGTGCATTGCTGACAGCCATGAGGTCAATGATGGGAGCTACCTGCTCACACAGGGACAGGGGATGCTCCTCACACAGCCACAGCTTGGCCTTGAACCTGGTCCCCCAGATCCCAAGGGGTAAGGGAAGCTGTAGGAAGCCATTGCCTCCTAACACCTCTTGGACCCCTGCCCTGCCCATCCCTCCCCAGAAAGAGCAGGGGCCTCACTTCTGTGTCTTGGTGGTCAGTTCCATGGGACGGCCCATGTCCCGGTTGCCAAGCTCAAAGTTGGGGTTGAAGTATTCTTCTGCAGTGATGGCAGGGGGATTGGCTTGGCTCAGAGTCTGAGTAATCAGGGTCTGTACCACACAGGAGGGAGTCCTTAGTCCCTGAGTCCAAATCAGGGGTTGCTGACACATCTCTTCCCCCTTCCAGCATAGGGCTGTCATGGCTTTCTCCACGTAGGTCATGGTAAGCAGGGTACCACCCAAAACTCCTAAGCCATATCCCCACCCTTCAAGACAATAAAACTCCTAGTACTCACCCCATTTTGGGGGCCCCCATGCTGCTCGGCAATTCCCAGGAAAGACTGCAGAGGTGTCTTACAGCCTAGAAAGAATGTGGGGTCTCAGGGGATACTGCACCCCCAACACACAGGTGCCTGGGGTAGGGGTGTGGGTAGCTCTCCCACCCCACATTTCTAGTCACTTTCACCTAAAAACGATGATGACTCTTGAGAACAGGGCTCAGGACCACTGCAAGCTTGGGTAAAATGAAAGGACACCTAAGCCAAGCATGGCGGGTGACATTTTAATGCCAGCACTCAAGAGGCAGGAAGGAGAAGGGATGTCTGTAAATTTGAGGCCAGCCTGGCTACATGAAGAATTTGAGACCAGGGTTACATAGTGAGAATCTGAGACTTGTCTCAGTCAATCAACCAACCAACCAACCAATCAATCAATAAAAGCACTTAAGGCTCAGAAGAAACTTCCCAACATGCTGCTCCCTAGGTTGGTGACTATGGACAGCAAAGCACCCATCTTCTCTTTGGGAGTGTGTGTGAATGCTTCCAATTAGGTGTTTCCATATTAATGACTTCACTTTGTTCATGTACAGGTAGGGATTACGTGTATCTACTTGAGACAGGTTAGCAATGCCCAATGGACGTGTGTGAAATAGATAAGCACATAGACTCAGTGGCAAGGATCCCTGACTTTTCTATTCAGGTTCTGAGACAGATGACTAGATTAGCCTCTGAATGGTATGCATGCCATTTCTCTCCCAAATGTAATACAGACATTAGTAATCAATCACTGAGCCCAAATGAGCCCCAGGATCTTCTTTGCAGTGTGTTACACAGCTATTTGAATTGAAATCTATTCGTCTGGCTGAGCCATCCTGGCACTGGGCTGCCAGGGGATGCTGTTGGGGACACCCAGATGGGAGGTGTCCCTCCCATCCTACAGCATCTCTCCCCATTTGCCTCAAGCTCATTACCTTTGACCTTGCCTTTGTGTTGTTCCGAAAGATGCTCTGTCCGTGTCCGGGTGATGAGCTCCACGTTAGAGGCCCCATATACCTAAGGACAGAGACCAAGAGGCTTGAGGACGGCCCTGGTGCCCACACGCAGGGGAATTCTAAACACTCCTACCAATAAAAGTCTTAGAGGGGACCTCTGCCCCCATCTTTAGGTATGTTGGCAAGTAAATATGGTAAACTATTTACTTTGTCATTTAACAAACCTTTTAATGGTGCTTGGGATGAAACCCGGGGCTTCTGGTACACAGCAAACGTTCTACCACTAAGCTGCAGCCCCAGCCCAGACTAGCAGATGTTTCGGAGCAGTTAGATGCCAGCCATTGAGGCAGGCATCAGGAATACAAATGTTGAACGACCCAACACAGTCCCTGCCCCTTTAAGAGTCACATTCTAGTTGGAAGGACAAGAAATTAGACAGCTTAAAAAAGTGAGATGCATGCAATAGCCGAGACACCTGAGGCATCTTCTCTGAGCATACCGACCAGGGAGGAGACATGTACAGAGCCTTAAAGCCTGTGTCAGCTCCTTCATTCATCATGTGCTGGGCAGGTGACAGTTTTTTAGAGGCCTGACCTTGAGGTCAGGTGGCCAAGATATGATCCCTAAGCTCTGCTACCTATAACTGTGCACACTGCCTGGAAGTGCTCCTGTGCCTCTAGGTCAGTGCGCCAATCCTTGTGGCCTCAGCTGCAGGCCAGGATAACAGGCGGCAACCCCAGCTTGGGGGAGTGCTTAAGATTAAGTGGGGTGCTATGGAGAGGGGTTCTGTACACATCTGTAAAGTGGGGATAGGAGCGCCTGCCTGTTGTGAGGAGTAAATGGGGGTGGCTTAGGTGTCCCTGCACCACAA